GGACCCGCCGCCGACGTCCCCGCCGCACGCTGCCGCCTCCAACCACTCGGCCCTGCGAGGGCGCCACCAGCATCAACCGCCGCGTCCCCGAGCCGAATACCTCCTCAGTCAGTCCGAGGGCGTCTGAAGCAAGCAAGCGGAGGACGCTTGGTTTCCCCCCCATGAAAGCATGCTGATGGGTTTTTTTTTCTACTTGTATTTAATGTTTGTACATAGTGATATGTAAATATTTATTTTATTTTTATTTTTAATTTTTTTTATGCATTTGGGTCTTTGGCGAGAAAAGTGTCAAAAGTTGTTTTCGTGTTTGTTTTTGACGTCCTAAAAGGCCTTGTCCGCTCGTCACTTCCGGTTTACTCGTTCGGTCGAATTAAAGCTTGAGCGCCCTCTACTGGCGGCCCGGAGTTTTTTTTTCTACTTGTATTTAATGTTTGTACATAGTGATATGTAAATATTTATTTTATTTTTATTTTTAATTTTTTTTATGCATTTGGGTCTTTGGCGAGAAAAGTGTCAAAAGTTGTTTTCGTGTTTGTTTTTGACGTCCTAAAAGGCCTTGTCCGCTCGTCACTTCCGGTTTACTCGTTCGGTCGAATTAAAGCTTGAGCGCCCTCTACTGGCGGCCCGGAGTCTCTCTTTGGACCGGGAAGTACAGCCCAGGTACGGTTTTGTTTCTTTCCTCCATCCCGCTAACAGGAAAGAGTCGAGGTCTAGACCCAATCAAAACTCGCCAGTTGCTGTGAAGTCCCCACAATCCGGCAGCGTGTCCTCATTTTTGGGAGCACAAGGTTGTGTTCGCGTTTCAATGGCCACAGTGCGCTGGTTAGTGAAGTGTTTGGCACACTTGGTTGTACTTGGTTGTTGAATTTGACATTTTGCCCGCACAATACGACTCATGATTATGACACAAACGTGGTGCTTTTCTCTTGGGGGCAGCGTCATTTCCTTTGCGCCCCCCACCGTCCTGTGTCGCAGGTGGAAATTACGAGGGCAGCCAGATGCTTAGTCCCGCCCCCAAAGTGGCGCTGCTGCACGTTGATTGGCCGAAGGCTGAGCGATGCGCCATTTGAATTTGGACCGGCTTTCCACTCAACTTGGCTGCATTTAAAGTTGCTTTTTGCCAATCTGCTCGGACTGGGCAACTTCGCGCACGGCCTGGTAAGTTCAAGAACCGCAGCGAGTCCACGAAACGGACGACACGAGCTCAAAGAACGACAACGGCTCGTTGAAAGAATGCAAAGCCGACGTGCGAGCAGACCGTTTTGGAGCGCCATCGCGAATTTCCTTGCCATCTCCCCAACTCCAAACCAGCCCCTCCAGCTTCCCTGTGTTCCCCGTGTGCGCGTGTTTGGGGTGCGGGGGGGGGGGGGTCTTTGAATTCCGTGCACGTTTGGGGACTCGATCAAAATGAATTTCCGACCAAAGTTCAGCTCCTCGAGTCCATTCGTTCCGTATCCTGAAAGTTCCTTCTTTGGGCCGAGCACCCAAGACACTCGCAGAACTACATTCGACTACTGAGAAAACTGCCCTCGTTTAACAGTCCCCAACCACCGGGCCGCTCAACTGAAAGTGGGAAGAAAAAAGATCTTAACTGTGCTTCAGTTTTATTATATTAGTACGACTGTATTAGTAACGGAGCGGCAAGAAAAATACTTGTCACGTGTCTTGCGTGTTGTTGTCATCCATGTGTCGCGTGACAAGCGCGGGATTTGTGGTCGCGGCAGGGTTTGCGTGTTTGCGGCCCGCGTCATGCGCCACGACTCCTCATCCAGCCGGAGAAAAGGCAGCCACCCGCGACGCCGCCCCCCGCCGTCGCCCGCGGCTGCTCCCCGCGGGCAGCGCCCCCCGTCATCGCCGCAGCCGGGCCCTTCTGGGGCCGGTGAGCCCGCCTCGCCGCCGTCCCATCCTGTCCCGACGACGGCTTGTAAAACAGGTTTTTGTGTTTGCAGGGCAGTCGCCCAGGAGGCGAAGGTACCGCCCAGGCACCAAGGCCCTGATGGAGATCCGCAAGTACCAGAAGAGCACCGAGCTTCTCCTCAGGAAGGCGCCCTTCTCTCGCCTGGTGAGTGTCGCCGGCTCACGGGTTGGCTTGTTGGCTTGTCGCCTCATGTGCAAAATCCACCTCACAGGTTCGCGAAGTGTGCCAGCTTTTCGACAGAGGTGCCATCCGGTGGCAAGTCTTCGCTCTGATGGCGCTTCAGGAGGTAAGGTTGCCAAAGGGGCCGAAAGGTCACACTCAGGCCGCCATCTTGGTGGTACTCGCGCAGCTGCTCAGCGCTCCAAATTCACTTCCACATCAGTTTGCTTCGGTTGAAAAAGGAGCTCAAGATCGCGATGGCACCGCACAGTAGCCACATCAAAAGCATGCCACCGAAAGACACTTTTTGCGCATCCGAGCCCGAGTCTTTGCTTTGAAGTGTCTTCCTGATACCGAGCTCCCCCCGAAACAATGAGATAAAAAGAGTGTGCTTCCCTCGCTTGCGTGTTGACGGCGTGTTGGGATCCTTGCAGGCGGCCGAGGCCTTTTTGGTGATGTTGTTCTCCGACGCCAACCTGTGTGCCATCCACGCCAAGCGGGTCACCCTGTTCCCCCGCGACCTCCAGCTGGCCCGACGCATCCGCGGCACCCAATACATCTGAGCGAGATGGCCGTCCGCCACGCGGCGGCGCGAGCCTTGGACCCTGACCGCCCAACCCGACCCGTGTCCTTGAAATCCTTCAAATTGTCATCACTGTGTTTTCCCAATAAAGTCATGTGACAACGGGGCGGATCATTTCTTGGCCCCGCCCAGCCAGCCAAACGGGTGACTGCTCAGCTTGCCGTGTCAAAGGGGACATTTTGGCGCCATCTCATTTCTCTGCCCCTTCTCCGAGACGACGCTTCCCTGATGACGTCGGGTCCCGGACACGACAACCGCATCCCCGCGTCGCTAACGTCAAAGAAAGAAAGGATGCGTGCCGCCGCTGTTGCTGTTTGTCGGTGTGCTTTTTCCCTGTGAGGCAGACCCGTCGGTGCCTCCACTCTCGTTGTGATCATGTGACCACATGAGCCAATTAGAATGCTTGTTTGATGACGAAGCCCGACTCATTCAGTAGTGGGGAAAGTTGACTCCCAAAGGAAAGCTTTTGACAGGTCGGCTTTGCCAATCGAAGCCTTGTGAGGTTGAGAACTTTGCCTTGAGAAAACCTTGGCCGCCGGACTGAAGATCCTTCAGACGGGCCCCCAAGCGTATCAAAGTCCCAACGCACTTTGCCGATGAGCGAATGACTTGGAACTCTGTCGCTGCGTTCACAAGGATTCGCCGACTGTTGAGTCGCCAACCACTGCGACGGGATTTTCAGTCAACTTGAGCCCTCCGCCATACACGCTCGTGGTGGCTATCGGGAAATGAGTCGCTCATTCCCAGCGCAGCGGCCATCTTCAAGCCGGGCCATGAGCAAGGACATCTGGAAGGGCAAAGCCTTGTTGTGCCGGCTGGGCGTCTTGGAGATGTTCTTGTGCTGGCGAGCACGTTAATGAGTTGCCGTCTCGCCACCGAAGCAAATCAAGCCGCTAATTAGGCCAACGAGTGCTCGTTGGGAGGCGCCCGCCACCGAAATGGCTCAAAAGGCTCGCCGGCGTGCGTCAGCGGCCGGGGGGTGACGCCCACTGCCGACCTCCTGTGGCGGATCGCCTTTAAAAAGGGTCGGCGGGCCGACGCCGGAGAACGCCGCCGCTGTGCCGGGCCGAGTCCATGACGGTAAGGAAGCTTCAATCTCTCTCTCTCTCTCTCTCTGCGTCAGAGGGCAGGTCGTCCAGCGAGGTCGTCCGTTTGAATCGCGGCTCCGACTGTCCCCTGTCAAAAGTCAAAACTGCCTCCGGGTCGCCGTCGTCAACGGAAATGCGTCTTCCGCTGCCTACGAAGACTTGATCCCAAATGAAATGGGCCCATTTTGGCTTCAGCGTTTGCGTCTTGTTGGTTTTGAAGCTGCGAGCCCCAATCATCCAAAAGATGGCAATTGGAGTCTTACAAAGGTTCCCTGTGGGTGCAGTCGGTACTTGCACCGATCAAGTTTCAGATGTTTGACTTCCAATTCAAATGTCTGAGCAGTATTTGCCTGCTCGGTTGTGTGGGCTGTGGTCCTGATGTGCTCGCTTGCATTTCAGATGAAGGTGCTTACGTCTGCGGGCAGCTCCCAGCTGGCCCTCCTCTCCCTTACGCTTCTGCTGCCGGTCCCCCGCAGCGTGACGCCGCACCCTGGGCCTGAGCCTGAGCCTGAGCCTCCCTCCGTGGGGATCCTGCGGCTGCCCTCGCCGTCCTTCCGTCTCTCCACCTCCCTGGAGCTCGCTTCTTCTTCCTCCTCCTTCTCCTCAGAGGTATGGGGGGCCTGGCCAGGAGAAGAGGCGGAGCTCCAGAGGCGGGCGAGAGAGAACGCCAACCAGGACGGCGGCGGCGGCCCACCCGGTGAGGCCCTCACCTCCATCCTGGGCGGCCTACAGAGCGTCAGTCGAGAGAAAGGCGGCTTTGGCTTTCGTTTTGGCAGGAACTCCCGAACCCGAGGGCGCGGGCCCTGATGTCGCCCAAACGCAACGGGGGCCAGCCACCGGGTCTTTCTACTCCACTATTAAATGCATGAAAACGTCCTCTTGTGCGTCAATGAATAAAGCTGTCGTTGGGAATCTGGTTTGCAGCCCGATACCAAAAAAAGACTGGATGTGTGTTCTTCTCTCATAAGACAGCAAACAGCGTCTGTCTTGGTTCATGGAGGGAGCCTTGATATTGTCGAAAAAGTCACATACATATCTTGCCTCAAATCTATCATGCTAAAAAAAAAAAAAATCACAAATATTGTGAAATACAAGCTGTCAAATTTCAATCATATGAGACCATTCCTCACCTTCACGACAGCTAAAGTCGATATGCAGGCAATGATATTCTCACATAGAAATGATCGCTTCATAACTTGGACACACGACAGAACGTGTCCTAAAAGCCATCAAGTCTCTCTTCAAAAGGGCAATTCAAATCCTCGACAGGAAACCAATGCGCTTCCACGATTGTGTCCTTCGAAAAAAAAATGAACGTTCTCTACCCGGACAACTACCGGATCTTTTTGGATGCCTGTCTCATTGACTAAGTTTTAAATGAGAATATTTATTTCCTTCGCCGTATCACAAGGAATTTATTGAAGTGGACGTCAAGGTTTCCAGTCCAAATCGTTGATTGGCTGCGCTCGGCCGGAAAGACCCCCCCCTACCCCGCCCCCTCCTAGCCTGATTGGGCGATATTGGTGTCACTCCGATGCGTCGGGACAGTGATTGGCGGCAAGGCCGGAAGTAATGTCCGTTTTCTTCCTGAAGTGGAACAGTGGCACGGAGCGGGACAGGAGGAAAGCTCCTCGAGTGGAAGTGTGACAAAATAAAAAAACAAAACAAAAGAACCTTTGCGCCACTTCCACGCGCGCTCTTCCGGCGCCTGCGTTTTCGGCGTGGAAGGCGAAGTGAAGCGGCCGCCGGAGATGGAAGCTGTACCGGCCAAGAACAAGGCGCAGGGCCGCCTACTGGTGTCCACGCAGCTGGACGCCAAAGACGAACTGGAGGAGGTAAACCCGCCGCCGCCAACCCGACGGCTCACTCTCCTCATCTCGCAAAGCCTCACGGCGCCTCGCGGGCTCATTAGCGTGGCCACTCCCTAGCTTAGCCCGCGACCCTGTACCTTGTCACTGGGAGCCGGTAGACAAACGCTCAAGTTCAATCGGAGATGCGCATGCGACGCCTGCTCACTTTTTGTTTGTGTGGGTCTGTGTGCAGAAACTGGAGCGTTGCGTTGGAGTGGTTCACTCGATGACCAATGGCCTTTCAGAGAGAGAAGCCAACGACGCTCTGACTGCCTGTGTAAGTTCATGACGTCATCAGCTGCAAAACACACACACACACACACACACACACACACACACACACACACACACACACACAAGGCAGGCAGGGAGGCCGGCTCCATCATTTGTTATTTGCAAACTCCTCACTGCTCGCTCCTCCCACCGCCGAGGAGAGCAACAGAGCAGCCAGGACTAACAGATGCTGAGAAATGGCTCGCTCGCTCGCTCGCTCGTTCCTCGATGATATCACACCATTGCCGTCACAGAAGTGTCGAAGTGCAAAGCGGCCTTTCAAAAAGCTCGACGAGAACAACATCTTGTGTAGTATTGCCAAATTGTTGGCGAGGGTTTCGTTTTGTCAACAAACCAGACCAATTCCCAGTTCACAATACAATACAACCTAATTTAAATAGCGCTTTCACAACAGCTGCAGCTGTAACAAAGCGCTTAACAAAACAGTGAACATCAAGTCAAATAATAAACACAACAGGACAGTCGTGCAACCCTCACCACTTTTCCCAGAGGAGAGAATCAAAATTCAGAAACACAAACCGATTTTTTTGCGGGACTTCCTCGGCATATCGGGGCTGGCGTTTCGGGAAGCATCAAGGAGCCCGCAACGCAGACGTGAAGGCAATTGAAATGCAATCGCAGCCGACCGGTGGCAGTGTTGTTGTTGTCCAGGCGTGTAAAGGCCAGCAGCAGCACGAGGAGGTTTGCCTTGGACTCTTCGCTTTGCTTCTCACCGAGCCAGCTCAGGCCCAGAGGGTAACCACGCACGCACCCGCGCATTGCCGTCATGTGTGACATCACCACGACAACATTGGGCGCGGGCGTGTGTGTGTGCGTGCGTGTGTGTGCACGCGCAGTGTTACAGGGACCTGACTTTGGTGAACAGAGATGGAATGAATGTGGTCCTGGTGAAGATCAACCAGATCTTAATGGAAAAGTTCCTCAAGCTCCAGGACGTCCCCAGAAAGCAGGTAAACACGTACACGCGCGTGCCTGTCCGGGACAAGGCTGGTACTGAAATGTGTGTGCGGGCATACAGCTGGTGTGGTTGGTGCGAGAGCTGGTGAAAAGTGGTGTGATGGCAGCTGATGGCGTTGTCATGACTTTGCTCAAGCAGATTGCAGGTTGGACACACACACACGCGCACACACTCTCGCACACGCACAGAATGCTCACGTCACTGCGTGCATGCAGGCGGAGATGTGTCCACAAAGAACTTGTGGTTGGCTGAGAGCGTCCTGGACATCCTGCTGGAGCAGAAGTATGACACACATGCAAATGCGCCCTATTCCAAAGCATCTTGTCGAGTTTGTGCGTGCGCGCGTGCGCAGGGAGTGGCTTTTGAAGAGCGGGATGCTGATCGCCATGTCGGTGTACACGTACCTGCGCCTCATCGTGGACCACGGCGCCCCCAACCTGCTTCCTCTGCGCCAGAAGGAAGTGGACTTCTGCATCGGGATGCTGCGGGAGAAGGTGAGGAGCGCGGCGGTGGCGGCGTGGCGACAACAAAGTTCGCCTCCTTCAAGCCCCCCTCCCTCCCCGCTTTGTGCAGTTCTTGGAGTGCGTGATCATCGGCCGAGATTTGGTGCGCCTGCTGCAGAACGTGGCCCGGATCCCCGAAATGGATCTTCTGTGGAGAGACCTGCTCCACAACCCTCAGGTCCTCAGTCCGCAGTTCACCGGTAAGACCGCCCGCGCTCTCTGCGCTGGTCTCCGTGGCAACGCTCTGGAGCACGCGTGTGTGTGTGTACGCGTCAGGTGTTTTGCAGCTGCTCACGGCGCGGACGTCCAGAAAGTTCCTGGCGTGTCGTCTGACCCCCGACATGGAGACCAAGCTCCTGTTCATGACCTCCAGGGTAAGCGGCGACTTCCCGCGGCGGCGAGGTGAGGCCGCCGCAGCCCGCTTCCCCGTGCGCCTCGCCGCACCTCCTCTCTCTCTCTCTCTCTTCCGTGCGAGCAGGTGCGCTTCGGGCAGCAGAAGCGCTACCAGGACTGGTTCCAGCGGCAGTACTTGTCCATGGCCGAGAGCCAGTCGCTGCGCTGTGACCTGATCCGCTACATCTGCGGCGTGGTCCACCCGTCCAACGAGGTCCTCAGCTCCGACATCCTGCCGCGCTGGGCCATCATCGGCTGGCTGCTCACCACCTGCACGGTAAGCGCGCCGAGCGGCCGTAAGCCTTCCGCCTTCTAACCCAAAACGGCTTTGTGCGTGTGTGCGGCGCAGTCGAACGTGGCCGCCTCCAACGCCAAGCTGGCGCTCTTCTACGATTGGCTCTTCTTCAACCCGGACAAGGACAGCATCATGAACATAGGTGACACGCTCGCTCGCACGCACGCCAACTCAACTGGCTCGATAGCTCGTAACAAAAGCGCGTGCGGCGTGACGCAGAGCCGGCCATCTTGGTGATGCATCATTCCATGAAGCCCCACCCCGCCATCACGGCCACGCTTCTCGACTTCATGTGTCGGGTGAGACTCCGCCTCCTCCCCGTGTCGGTCTGCCGCCGCGAACGTCCCGGAATGACCTGGCCGGCTCCCGGCTTCCTCCTCCGTGTCCTCGCCTCCTCCTTCCTCCCCCTCTCAGATCATCCCGCACTTCTTCCCTCCGTTGGAAGTTCAGGTCCGTCAGGGCGTCTTCAACTCGCTCACGTTCATCATGGAGAAGCGAGTCCTGGCGTAAGACCCGCGCACGCGCGCGCGCACGCAATTCCTTGTGTGGGGGGTTAAAGGTCATGCGCTCTTGCAGCCACTTGGCGCCGCTGTTTGACAATCCAAAGTTGGACAGAGAACTTCGCTCCATGCTCAGGGAAAGATTTCCAGAGTTTTGCAGTGCCCCCTCGCCGCCCATGGAAGGTGCGCCCACGCACGCACGCACTCACGCACTCGGATGCCGCGCCAACTCTGTGTGTGTGTGTGTGTAGTGAAAATGGAGGAGATGGCGTCCATGGAGATGGAAAACATGATGGACAAGGAGGAAGGTTGCTACGACAACACAGAAGCAGCCTTCAGTGATGATGAGGAGGAGGTCAACAGCAAAGGTCATCATCTCGATCGTCTTCCCAATGATTCGATTAGTAATTCATATTCACCTTAGCCCTTGTGTGTGTGTGTGTGTGTGTGTGTGCGTGCGCGCGCGCGCAGGAAAGAAGCGGGAGTTCAGATTTCATCCAATCAGAGAGGCTGTGGTGGAAGAGCCCGCTGACATCACACCCTGGCTTGACCAACTGGAGGACACCATGAAGGACAAGGTCGTCCAGCTGCAGAAGTCAAGGTCAGGGGTCGACACGGACGCCCAAGTTGTGACTTTCAGTCCATTGCTCAGAATCGGTCAACCGTGCCAATTGCTCCCAGTGACACGGAGACGCAGTGTGAAGTCATGCAGGACATCGTGGACCTCATCCTGGAGGTCTGCAAGCCGCGTGCGCACGCACCCACACACGCACAGGTTTAAACCACAGGCCTGCGCACGTTTGCAGGAGGATTTCGACACGGAGCAGATGTCGGCCTTAGCGTCGTGTCTGGCGGAGATCTTCAAAGAACATTTCCGAGGAGACGTCCTCCCCGAAGACATCACTGACGAGTAAGAGCGGCCGCCGCCGCCGCGTGCGCGCCCGCGCTCAGCGTGCTCCTTGTCAGCTGCGCGCGTGCCTCAGATCGCTGGAGGAGTCGGTGTGCAAGGCGGTGTGTCTGGTCTTCCGCAACCTGGTGACCATGCAGGAGGACAACAGCGGCTTCGCCGTTCTTCTGGAAATGCTGGCGGAACTTTACCAGAAGCAGCCCAAGATCGGTTACCACTTGCTCTACTACCTCAAAGCCAGGTGACGCCTTGACGCTCGCCGTAGCGCGCCCTCCGCCGCTTGCCGCCGTGACTGCCAAATGACAGCCGACGAATCGCGTCGCCACACTCGCTTGCTGACAAACAAGAGTTGAAGCAAAATCTGCGGCCGGAACTTTGCCAGCGATTGGACTTGCGCGCCGGGTGGGGCGAGGGCGCGCCCCAAACTTGGGCATCGTTTCACACTTGGCATTTTCCTCTCGGGTGTGCGTGTTGAAATGTGCAATTGTGTGTGTGTGTGTGTGTGTGTGTGTGTGTGTGTGTGTGTGTGTGTGTGCGCGCTCAGCAAAGCGGCCAACGGCAAGATGATGCTGTACGAGTCGTTCGCGCAGGCCACGGCGCTCGGAGACCTTCACACGTGTCTGATGATGGACATGAAGGCGTGTCAGGAGGACGACGTGCGCTTGCTCTGCTACCTGACGCCCTCCATCTACTCGGAGGTACGTACGTGCGCGCGTGCTTTTTTTTTTTTTTTTGGGCCAGCCGACTCTGAGCTTTGCCGGGTTCTAGTTTCCAGATGAGACGTTGAGGAGCGGCGAGCTGCTCAACATGATCGTGGCCGTCATCGATTCCACTCAGGTGGGTGAGAGGTAGGCGGCGGGCCGCTTAGCCGGGCGCTAACGCGGCGTGCGTGCAGTTGCAGGAGCTGATGTGTCACGTGATGATGGGGAACCTGGTCATGTTCCGCAAAGACTCCGTTCTCAATATCCTGAGTGAGCGCACGCGCACACTTGATATAAACAGCAGGGGGCGCCCTCTTAACACTTTTTTTTTCCTCGCCCCTGGGCAGTCCAGTCTCTGGACTGGGAGACGTTTGAGCAGTACAGCACGTGGCAGCTGTTCCTGGCGCACAGCATCCCTCTGGAGACCATCATCCCCATCTTGCAGCACCTCAAGTATAAAGGTAGCCTCCACGGCAACCTGACCGTCACTTCTACGGCAGCCGGTGCGAGCGATCCGGATGTCGCTCCCGCTGATGCCGCCTTCCCCTTTGGCGCGTTTGCCTTTTTCATGCAGAGCACCCCGAGGCCTTGTCCTGCCTTCTGCTGCAGCTGCGGCGAGAAAAGTAACACCGCGACGGCCACCGCGCGACCGCCAAACCTCGCGGCGGCGCCTCGCTCACCTGTGCGTGCGTTTGTGCATCAGGCCCAGCGAGGAGATGGTGAAGATGGTCCTGAGCAGGCCCTGCCACAGCGAGGACCAGTTCACCACCAGCCTCCTGCGCCACTGGGCGTCCAAGCACGACGACGCCCTGGCCGAGCACATCAAAGCGCAACTCATCAAGAACAACAACCAACCGCGAAAGAGGCAAAGGTGCGCTCTCCGCTCCTGTCTCCGAGCCTCTCGCGCTTGGCGAGGCTCGCTTCTACCGTGCGCAAGCGGGATGCTGCCTCGAGTCCAGCAGGGGGCACACACGCAAAGAAAGACTTCAAGCGGGACTCCAGAAGATGCTGAGGATGACGGTTCCATGACAACAAAACACTGTCCTTCTTTGCATCACAATCAGTGCATGCGTCTGTGTGTGTGTGTGTGTGTGTGTGTGTGTTTGCAGTCTCCGCAGCTCGAGCAGCAAACTGGCTCAGTTGACGCTAGAGCAGATCCTGGAACATCTGGACAACCTCCGATTGAGCCTGAACAACACGAAGAACAGCTGTCAGTACACGCGTGCACGCCCGCGCGGCTCCGTTGACTCGTGCTAATTCTTGACCTTTGGTGTGCTCAGTCTTCAGCCAGACGCCCATCCTTCAGGCCCTCCAGCACGTTCAGGCCAGTTGCGATGAAGGACACAAGATGAGGTACGCGCCCGCCCCGCGCCCGCCCGGCTGCTGATTTTCTGGGGAAATTTCCGGATGAACCCAAAATGCCGATGAAGTGTAGTCCTTTGGTGGCGTCTTTTTTTTTTTTTTGCAAGTGGCCTCATTCAACTTGTCCTCCTCCTTGCTGAACTCTGAAATTGAGTTACAAGTGGCACGAAGCCGCTTTGAAGCCTCTTTTGGATGCCAAGCCGAGTTCAGTGCCAACGCTGGCCACTAGGATTTCAAATTTGAGCTTGTCAGTCAAAGAGAAAAAAAAAAAAAACAACTGGAAAGCCGCTTTGGAAGTGGGCTGGCTCATATGGCAAGGCGCCACCTAGTGGCGGGCCCCGGCGCGGTAGCGTAGCGGCAAACGTTTGAGCTTGAACGGTGAAAAGAAATAAGCCCCCCCCGCCCACCCCCCCCCCATTTTTTTGAAACTCGAGGTCAAATTGGAGTGACCCCTAAAGGTCCGAGCGCATTTTAGGTTCATCCAGAAACGTTGACCCCGAAGCCCCAAAAGGCGCCGCTGGTGACGGGGCGACTGGCCGTGCAGGTTCAGCGACTTGTTCGCCTTGGCCGAAGAGTACGAGGACTCGCAGGCCAAACCCGTCAAGTCTCGCCGCAAGGCGGCCGCCACGTCGCCGAGGTCGCGCAAGGGCGCCGCGCCGCCCAGCAACAACAACGAGGAGGAGAGCGCCTCCAGCAGCGCCTCGGTGGGTTCGCCCGCCTCCTGCCGAAGCCCCCCCCCCCTGCGCTGACCTCGCCTCTCGTTTTGTACCTCAGGAGGAGGAAGACTCCAAACCCAAAGCGCCCAAGAGGAAGAGGAAATGCTCTTCGGCCGTGGCCTCCGACAGCGACTGATCCACGTTTGCCCGCCATGCGCTGTGCCCCGGCTTTTAATTTTTTTATTTTATATTTTTCTTTGGGGGGGGGGGGAACAACTCTTTGCTGTTGTTTTTAAGCTGCCCCTTCCTTTTGTCTCGCTCCAGTAAAAGCCTTTGTATGAAGCCCACCACATTTACTCTTCTTTTCAGCACTTCCTGTTTAGTATTGTGCACTGCGAGGTGCCGGGCTGGTTTGAAATCGTTTTGATGCCCCGCCCACATCATCACTTGTGACGGGCATCATCAGCTGGACGGCCGCTTGAGCGACCGGCCGGCCGTCCGGATGGTCTCCTTGAGGCGGGCGCCATGTTTAGTCGCCTCCAGACAGGAAGCGTCGGTGATTTTTGTGTGGCCGTCACGTCCGCGGCCAAGTCGGGAACGCATCCCTGAATTCTCCATCCCACCTCGCGCTCCACGTTTCTTCCTCTCCTCGCCACATCCTCGGTCCTCCCCCGCAAACCGGGAGCGGACCGCGCGCCCACCAGAGGTGTCATGACCGAGAGACCTCCCGCCCCGTCCCTGCTTTCTCGCCGCTCGACGGCCAGGACCGAGAAGGTCAGTGCCAAATGTCCCCGCCGCACCCGCCCAAGGTCACGACCCCCTACAGATTGCGTGCGGTTCTGGCACGCAGCCCCGAGAGTCCCCGGGGGGGCGACGGCCATCCC